GCATTAAAAAAACACTAAAAATGTCCAAATGGAACAAACTTGCTTAAAAAAATGTCTCGTGAAGAGCTGGTCCTATCAACAAATATGAAAAAGTTAACAAATGGAAAATACTTTGCTTTTTCTTTTAATATCACAATTCCTATTTTTCCCATTCATAAAGTGTCATCCCTATCTTCCTCAAGCGAATAATAGAATTCACATTTTCACATTTTCACTCTGGCTCACACAGTATCTACTTGTATATGTTTATGTTTTGTGCCCAATTCCTATTCTATAATTGATGGAGTCCTTTGTCATTTCCGGTTAGTCATGTTTGGTAGATGCTTTCTGTCAGTGAATGCAGGGAGCCATTAACCTTCCACAGACACCACAGAAAGACTTGAACTGTATCAAACTTTTAGTATTTAAAAGATGTTGTGCGTATGTCACAGGGGTAAAAACAGGTTCTTCGGTCCAGGGTTTAAAAGATGACCACTGGATTAAAAGCGAGTTAAAAGTAATTTATTATAAAATACAATAAAAACAAGTAAAAGAATAAAAAGCAATTAAAAACCCTAAGCTATAAAAACGGACTAAAAAGCTAAAACAGAGGCTAAAATACGTCCCCACGGCCTGGGCCGCCAGAGCACGGGGCTCTCACCCGCCGCGTCTCACACCCGTGTCTGGCTCTCTCCCCTTCCCCCTCCCCATCTCAGTCTTTTACCCTCAAGACGCAGGTGTCTTGATTGCTCACGTGGGGAGCCGGGGTGCTTCGGGTGGTGCAAGTCAGTAAATAAAAACACACAGCATGCATAAAAAAGTATAAAACACACAACAAACGTTAAAAGACCCACCACCCTTGTGCACCCTCTGACACGTATTGCGTGTGTTTGCATTGTTTTCACTTCTGTATAACTGCATTTGTGTGAGACTGTGATTACAAGACACTCATATTTTCTCCTCCCGTCACCTCTCCACATTTTATTTTCACTTAGAATTTTCCCGATATCAAGAAGTCTATTGCCCTTTTTACTTGTAGTCCGTGCATTATTGATAGCACCTGCTTTGACAGAAAACCCTTAACAAGCGAGTTGTTCTCATGTGTCATTGCGCATTAAGTCCCACGCAGAGAAAGCTCTCTCTGTTCTTGGCCTTAAGTAATGACTGAAGCATATGTGTGCGACATGTACGCCCCATGCTTTATTCAGCACCTTAAAGGCGCTGTTACCCGCATTAGAAGTGGACAGAAATATGCAAAATCTTAGGAAATAATTCACTTACATAGCACATTTTTAGCTACTCTATACTCACCTTGGCCCTACTGTACTCTACTCTACTCTATACTCTACTTGGCCCTACTGTACTCTACTCTACTCTATACTCTACTTGGCCCTACTGTACTCTACTCTACTCTATACTCTACTTGGCCCTACTGTACTCTACTCTACTCTATACTCACCTTGGCCCTACTGTACTCTACTCTACTCTATACTCTACTTGGCCCTACTGTACTCTACTCTACTCTATACTCTACTTGGCCCTACTGTACTCTACTCTACTCTATACTCACCTTGGCCCTACTGTACTCTACTCTATACTCTACTTGGCCCTACTGTACTGTACTCTACTCTATACTCTACTTGGCCCTACTTTACTCTACTCTACTCTATACTCACCATGGCCCAACTGTACTCTACTCTATACTCTACTTGGCCCTACTGTACTCTACTCTACTCTATACTCTACTTGGCCCTACTGTACTCTACTCTACTCTATACTCTACTTGGCCCTACTGTACTCTACTCTACTCTATACTCTACTTGGCCCTACTGTACTCTACTCTACTCTATACTCTACTTGGCCCTACTGTACTCTACTCTACTATATACTCTACTTGGCCCTACTGTACTCTATACTCTACTTGGCCCTACTGTACTCTATACTCTACTTGGCCCTACTGTACTCTACTCTACTATATACTCTACTTGGCCCTACTGTACTCTACTCTACTCTATACTCTACTTGGCCCTACTGTACTCTACTCTACTATATACTCTACTTGGCCCTACTGTACTCTACTCTTCTATATACTCTACTTGGCCCTACTGTACTCTATACTCTACTTGGCCCTACTGTACTCTACTCTACTCTATACTCTACTTGGCCCTACTGTACTCTACTCTACTATATACTCTACTTGGCCCTACTGTACTCTATACTCTACTTGGCCCTACTGTAGTCTACTCTACTCTATACTCTACTGGGCCCTACTGTACTCTACTCTACTATATACTCTACTTGGCCCTACTGTACTCTACTCTACTCTATACTCTACTTGGCCCTACTGTACTCTACTCTACTCTATACTCACCTTGGCCCTACTGTACTCTACTCTACTCTATACTCTACTTGGCCCTACTGTACTCTACTCTACTCTATACTCACCTTGGCCCTACTGTGCTCTACTCTACTCTATACTCTACTTGGCCCTACTGTACTCTACTCTACTCTATACTCACCTTGGCCCTACTGTACTCTACTCTACTCTATACTCTACTTGGCCCTACTGTACTCTACTCTACTCTATACTCTACTTGGCCCTACTGTACTCTACTCTACTCTATACTCTACTTGGCCCTACTGTACTCTACTCTACTATATACTCTACTTGGCCCTACTGTACTCTATACTCTACTTGGCCCTACTGTACTCTACTCTACTCTATACTCTACTTGGCCCTACTGTACTCTACTCTACTCTATACTCTACTTGGCCCTACTGTACTCTACTGTACTCTATACTCTACTTGGCCCTACTGTACTCTACTCTACTATATACTCTACTTGGCCCTACTGTACTCTACTCTACTCTATACTCTACTTGGCCCTACTGTACTCTACTCTACTATATACTCTACTTGGCCCTACTGTACTCTATACTCTACTTGGCCCTACTGTACTCTACTCTACTCTATACTCTACTTGGCCCTACTGTACTCTACTCTACTATATACTCTACTTGGCCCTACTGTACTCTATACTCTACTTGGCCCTACTGTACTCTACTCTATACTCTACTTGGCCCTACTGTACTGTACTCTACTCTATACTCTACTGGGCCCTACTGTACTCTACTCTACTATATACTCTACTTGGCCCTACTGTACTCTACTCTACTCTATACTCTACTGGGCCCTACTGTGCTCTACTCTACTCTATACTCTACTTGGCCCTACTGTACTCTACTGTACTCTATACTCTACTTGACTCTACTGTACTCTATACTCTACTTGGCCCTACTGTACTCTACTCTACTATATACTCTACTTGGCCCTACTGTACCCTGATTTGGAGTGTTATCACTGGCCCTGTTTAACTGGTTCCGGGTACGTTTTAGTACCTGCTTGGCCCTGGTTCTATCCAGGCCGAGCTGGTACGTGTTCCAACAATGTCCATAAATGTTGATAAATGTCCATAGATCGTTCCTTTCAAATGTTGAATTGGTCATTTACAGGTGAAACTGTCTGTTTAGTTCTGTAATTCAACCTAAAATGTGAAACTAATTTGATGAATTATTCCATCTGTTGATTCAGGCTCTGTGCACAGCCCTCTGGTTTGTGTTCCCTCTGTTCCACTTGTTTTGTTCTGTTTTTGCTCCATGGGGCTCAGGAGTATAAATAATCTGCTGACCATCCACACACAACAGTTGACATTCGTGCGTGGGACCTTTCTGTTTGATGTTTGCATGTTCTCCCTGTGCCTCCTCCGGATTTCTCGACCAATAAGAACATGTGCCAGTGCATAAGCTCCTCCCCTATAAAGGTCAATATATATATTAGGGAATCAATCTTGAATGCCATTTAGTTTCAGGTGAATCTGCGTCATGGATCTGACTAAAGAGGTTGAATGTTTTATTCTACAAAAAGAAATTATTTATTCTACAAAAAGAAATTATTTATTCTACAAAAAGAAATTATTTATTCTACCAAAAGAAATTATTTATTCTACAAAAAGAAATTATTTATTCTACAAAAAGAAATAAAATATGTTAAGAAGTCTTTTACTCTTTTGTTAATTCCTTATGTCATCACAAAATATGAATAAAACTTTATGAACCAACATTTATGAACATTTATCAACTTTTATAGACATTGGTCATCTGCTCTCACCAATGTGTTTTCTGTTTGTTTTTTTTTCTGGGTTTTTTTTCTTCTTTTTTAATCATTGCATTTCTTGCGTTTGAACTGTTATATTCTCTGGTCTGTGTTGGCAAATTCAACGGTTTTGTAAAGTCCACTGAGATATTGTTGTGATTTAGGGCTATACAAGTACACATTGAATTGTATTGAATTGAATGTGTACAAATCTGGCCAAAAGTGGTACTGCAGCCTCTCCCACTCTCCCTGACTCAGGTTGCCAGATATGCAGACGAATCCAGCTGGGACCATAACAGCTGAATAGACAAGAGTTTTATCAACAACAAATCTATAACCAACACCTTTTTCACAAAGGCATCCCTGAATTGATCTCCTTGAATGGTTTGAAAATTATAACGAGACCGTTTTTAATACTGCGACCACCGTTTTTAATACTGCGACCACACCAGTGGAGGGCGGGACATCGAAATGAAAAAAATCAACGGATTTAGTGGCTGTATAACTAATTTTGAAATCCAAATATCTCTGAACTACTGTTATCAGTTAAAGAAGTATTGGAAAAGAGGTTCATTAATTCCTTTTGACAGATTAGGGCCCTTTAATGATGACTTGACATGAAAATCTTACACATCGCTACTTTAACAATTGCAGTATCCTTTGTTCTACCTTCGATGCCTGTGCCGAGGGAGATATTTTGTATGATACTGTAACCACTGCTCCCACTCTCGAGCGCCAAGTCCACACTAAAACTGGCCTCTCTCCCGCACACACCCCAGTCTTCTGCCTCAGTGGCTTTGATGCATTGCTTTCTCCTGCTTCAGACACACACCACTTCACACACAGAAAAGTGCTGACGCCTCTTTACCTTGAGGTTATGTCTGTACGCTGCATCCAGGACGGCCGGCACCAGGTCCTCTGTGGGCTCTCCGTTATCATCAGCCAGACCGGGAGGATACCACGACACCACCAGCACCCCTGAGAGATACACACATCTGTCTGAACCAGCGGGTATCGGAGAAACAAAGGCCTGCTGTTCGCAACTGCTCAAATCCAGACTCAAACTCACATTTTCAGACTTACTTTCCCCTCATGACCAGTCGCCCCAACACCTTCATCCTGTTCTGTTGTTTTCTGGTTTTAATAATGCTAATGTTTTTAACTGCACTCTGTTTTTAACCATGTTTGTAAAAAATATGTACTATTATTGTTATTAAACTGGAGAAAATCAACTAAACAGCAGCTAATTTTGAACAGTTGCAGAGAATGGGGTGTATTCGGTGTATTACATGGTTACATTTTGTTTTGTTTCACTTTTAGGGTTATTTTGAAGGATTTTGAGCATAATAATCCAAAGCACCGTCGGGAAAGTTCTTTTGATGAAGCCAGAGGTTTTTTTCCTTCAGCAAAAGATAAAATAATAATACCGAGACATTGCAAAATATTTTCAGTTTTAAGTGGAAAGCAAAATAAAAAGGACTAAATATAGTTTTAGGCCAATACAAATTGTGCTTATTATTATTATTATTATTATTATGAACTGAAAGCCCTTTCCATCCAAATTTATTATTATTAAGGTGTATTATCATAAATTTACATTACAAATTAATACATACAAATAAAAACTACCTTGATAGACAGTAGGCTGTTTTTCTTTAAATACATTTAAACATATGAACTATAACTTTATATTGGTCAATAGGCAAGGAAAGGCAGGTTTAAGTTCAAGTGCCTAACAAAACAAGAAAAACTCATCATAGTGGGCCGACAGTAGCTCAGTTGGTAGAGCACTGGCCTTTAGGCCGGAAGGTCGTGGGTTCAAGCCCACTGTAAGACCTACTTCACGACTTCCACTGATGTCTGCTGTCGTTGTGTCCTTGGGCAAGACACTTAACCCCACTTTGCCTGAAGCCCCCACTGAAAGAACTCAGCTCCTGTGGACTCAGCACCTGCCGGAGGATCAGTGAGGGGCTGGTGCTCTGTGTACTGGGTGCAGCTCTGACTGCCGCCCCCCGACCCAGAAATGGATTAAGGGGAAGAAGATGGATGGATTAACGTCACAAATAATCACAGTACTTTAGAAAGAGTGAAGATACAGTCCTCCAGTTATTGCAGCTAAACAGGGCTGTTTTTTAACCTGGATTTGAACATTGTCAGAGAAGAAGCCTGTCTCACATTTTCAGGTAAACTGTTCCAGAGTGTAGCTGCATAAATCTGACATGGTGTTTGCTCGTGCTTGGTCCTGACCTCACCACAGATAATCACTTCTTACGGTTTAGATTGAAGATAAATGCACCAAGCTCTGACGTATTTGTTGTTTGTGAATCGTGAAAAACAAAGGAGGAACTCAAAAGCAGGACTGCAAAAATGACCAGATTTCATACACAAAACTCAATATTACAAAATCCAGGATGTAAACAAAAAACCATAATCAAATCGTGAAGAATGAGGAGAGTAAATAATGGACAGACAACAAGAGGAGAGGAGCACAGGGTGAAAATACACACAGGGAGAAACCGGCGAGACACATAACAGACAAGAAGTGAACTTAACCTGGTGCTATCCTTGTGTCAAATTGACACAGCACTATGATTAAAAATACCTTAAATATATCTTTTTTTTCCAGCTTAATTTTGATGTTTTTTCCCAGACTTGACCAGCCCTGTCACAGACCCTTTTATTACCTAATTTAGGCTATTTTTTGTCAACTTTTAATCTCTGTGGTGGATCATTTTGACTCAAAGACAGCACAAGGGTTAAAAAGACAGGAGAACAAATATATCCAAATAAAACTGGTTCAAATAATCATCAAAAAGTCCACACCATGACACTGTTAAACTGAACCCATTCTTAAACTCCTGCTCAGTTCCCATCAGTCCTCCATAAAGACGTCCACGTTCTTTTACAGACCTATTTATGTCCAGGGAGCTGCACTTACTCTCGCTCTCATCGACTGCTGTTGCCTCGGCCCGTTTCAGAGCTCCATTAACTTAATGACTTACTTTACAAACAGATGCCTCCGGGTTTGTCACCTGCGTCGCTCGAAAACACACACCCTACATTTATGATTGATGAACGCACACTTGTCGCTCTCTGCTGTATTTATTAAGCCAACTTTTAGCTGCGATATTTCAACGGCGGTGTGTGACGGCTCATAAATTGTTCCGGAAAAGTGCTTGTTCTTGCCTGGCCGCCGAGGGGATTTGGCAAGAGTAAATGTATTGAACTTCTCCGCTCACTAGAAGCTGTGGTTAGATTACGAAGGCAAACTTTGTCCACGGTAATGTCCTGGTTGTATTGAACAGACAACACTGTGTGGTAGGTTTCAGAGTTGATGATAACAATCGACACCAGCCGCAGTGTAATGCACACTTTTAGAAAGAGCAGGTGGATTTAATTACCTCAGAACCCAATACATTCATCAGATTGTATTACCGGAGTATAGGGAGAAAGAAATTGCATATATGCTGGGTTCGCTGTTCTGTAAATATGTGTATGTATTTGCAACATTTAGCTTTGAATATTGAGAAATTCAGACAAAATGGATTATAACATATGGACAAACTGTGAAGTTGTATAGAATATGTGTTTAGAAATATTCCAAATGACACGAGACTATCTCATTAATAGAGCTATTTATCGTCCTTGTTTTGGCTGAGGGTGTAAGTTCTGGTTAACAAGGTCTTTAATGGGAGTGGACCTTTTCAATAATAGTTTTAAATACTGGTCAATATTTAAATTGGGCGCCACGTCTTGCAGCCAGAAGGTCCTGGGTTCTTACTTTGAGTGAATGGTTGGTGATGCTGCTGACATAATATAAAAACACTATGAAATTTGTGAGACTCTGGTTCGCCTAAATCACTTGATAAATAAAGATTACTAAATTAATTACATACTAAATGAAAAAGGACACAAGTATGAAATGCAGGGACTCCAAATTCAACAAATATTCAAACTTAAAGCTGGAGTACATTGTGTTTGTCCCAACAGACCAAGAGAAAACTAGCGATGGAACTGAACTGGTTTGAGCGCTACAAACGAGTTACATGTATGTGAGGCAGGAAAAGTTGCACCAAATTCCCAGTTTGTGACTGTTTCTGTAACTTACAATTGCAATAAATCCTGATTCTAATGTTCAAATCCAGGTTAACATCTGTTTCATTTTCTCTCTCTTTTTAGCTGTGCACACAACAGGAAGATAGAATCCATCCTAGTTTTTATGCACTGTCTATATTTATGCATGTTTAGCACTTGGATTTATCCATAGCCTTTGGTATAAACTGTATACAAATAAACATTATTACACAGTTAGTAGTTACTCCAGCTGTGTCTTGAGAAGAGTCTATATATGGACCAGTGAAAGGAGCCCTAGTTGCACCAGTTGGAGAAACCCTGCCTTTTACTAATGCTGAATAACTCAGGGTTAGTACAGGTCCTATCCTCCATCTGCCAGTGTCTGTTTCAAACGCCTCAACAGAACATTCATTATTCCACATGGTGTAAAATTAAACCACTGAGCCACCGGATGCAGACTACAGATAGACACCAGAGCAGACCGTTTTACATCACCAGACTGCTACTGAATTTGCAACTACACAAACTGGTCAATAGTGGTATTTAAAGGCCGAGGAGGCTAACAATAGGGCAGTTCCAGAGCAGGTTGTTGTGATCATGTGTGTTTGGATCACTCATATGGAGGTCAGCTTGGAGCCAGAACCCTTTTCATCCCATCTCCACATAAAGTGAATGGGCCATATTCCAAAAAAAATATTAAATTGAAAATATGGCAGCCCCACTGAATGAATCCCTCATGGAAGTAATTGATGTGCTCAATATGAGAGGGTCTTAAAAGTGATTTATGTGAAAGAAAACGTCAGTTGTTGTTGTTGTTATACTAGACGGGGATGCATCCAAATTGTTTCCTTTTTTATCCTTATTCTACCCAACATGTGCTGTAAAGAAAAACCTCATAGTGAATCATACTGGACACGACTAAAACTAAAAAGGTCTGTCGCCAATAGGCCATATATTTTTAGCCAAGGCAAGTTTGGTTCATTTGTATAGAACAGTACATACACAATGCAACTCAGAGTACTTAACAAAACAAGTAAAGAACCATTAATAATTACAGTTCATTCAAAAGATTGGGGATGCAACCCTTCAAATGTATGTGCACAGCTAAGCAGAACTGTTTTAAAACATGGATTTCAACATTGTCAGAGTAGAATGCTTCCGTTAATGCAGCCCTTGATGAGCCCTAATATGTAACCCTTGCATATTGAGCTGCCTTGTGTAAGAAGTAGGAAAGTTCCACATGTAAAGTAGATGTTAAAGTGGCGTATATTCCGAAATAACTGTATGTGGGAGCTGTCCTTTTACGCGTGGTGCTGAAATCTCATCCCAGCAGCAGCAGCCACCTCACTGAGAGTCTTGGTAACAAAACACACAAAAACCCCACGCACTTCCAAGCCTCACCTGCTGCGGAGGTTCCTATCTGCTCCATGTGGGACTCCAGAACTGCCGGATCTCGGGAACTGTACGCACCCAGCTCCGGGTAGAAGCTCGATCCGATGTCGTCCGGGGGCATGTGTCTTCCTCTGGGGTAGCTGGACGCGATCTTGGGGTCCCAGTGAGGTACGAGGATGTGGTCCCAGTGGATATACTTCCCGTCCATTTGCGGTGCCCCATACCAAGTGCTGTAAAATATATGGACGTCGTAGAACAAGGTGCCTTCAGGACCGGTGTTGGACAAGGGGGGTTTGGTGCTTTTGGGGGCTCCGGGTCTGGGCTGTCCTGCAGGCGCTGTCGGGGGACGTGCAACCGAGCGCCGATCCAGCTTGCCTCCAATCAGGGGTAAAAAGTCCAGTCCTGGGGTCAGATCCATGAAGCCGTCCGCGGGTTTCAGCGTGCGTAGTCCCATCAAACTCCCGAATATGAACAGTGTAAACAGAAACAGGGCGATGCACGACTTTCTGCGCAGACGGGCCATATCCGGATTAAAGTACAGCCACTCCGCGCACAGACGAGCCGTCACACGTGTCGCATGTCCAACGAGTGCGGTTCTTGTTGCATGTTCGCTCTCTCCACTTGTCAACTTTCTCTGCAACAACGAGAAGCACGCAGAGCTACACGCACACCGCTCTGTTACTGCGTCTCTCCCTCTGAAAGATGCACTCTGGGATCCCACCGTGACGCGCTCTGCCGCTGGTCACTACATGTTTTAATGGAGTCGAGTTTTTGTAGGGTTAAAGTTAAAGCATTAAAACATTATACATGCCCATCTCGAAGAATTAACAATACGTGCAATTTCTATCAAAGTGGCCAAAAGGTAAACATTCCTCTTTCAGCTGTGACTTCAGAGCAATCGTGACCTCTAGCGGTGGTTATGCGTATTGCACAGTGAAATTCAGTTCAGTAAATGCATTTCCATTTATTTTCGTATAAATCACAGCAGATCATGGAATCAAACAGAAATTAGATTACAAATACATAAGAGCCATAGGTCCACAGGGAGCGGGGCGACCACTGGCCATAAATGTTAATATACATGTCCGTAAACAGGCCTGTCGCAAGGGGGGTGCCAGGCCCTGTGCGAACTTGAAACGCGAGGCCCTGCCCTGACACCTTTTTCCCAGATCTCAGGAAAGTTTTTCAAGTTTTAATATTTGACATGAATTCAGCACCGCCTCGCGCTGTGCCTTTAGAGATCAGCACGCGCGCAGACGTGTGTCCTCGCTCCAATGCAGCGTTGCACGCACACACGCACGCACCCACACACAAACTGTTACCGCGCTTGGCATTGGTATATTGGTCGCGGTCTTTTTAGCTGACATGGCTCTTTCGTCCTGTGGCAAAATGGCAGCAACTCAAAAGATTGAACCAAAAGGAGTCTTCTTCTTTTTCTAATTGTTAGATTACGGCAAAATGCGCCAAAATGGCTATGAGGCGGAGTCAATATTTGTTATTTTTTTCCTCATCAAATAACGTTTTTGCCATGCCTCCACACTCACAACATACGCTCCTTCTCCTGCTCCTCCTCCTCCCCACTCTGACCACAACAACATACACTCCTTCTCAATCTCCTCCACCACACACTCTGACCACAACCTACATGCTCCTGCTCCTCCTCCACACACTCTGACCACATTTTTATGCCCAAAATCCACTGCACTCACAGTAGCATGAACGCTGGACATACAGTGTTTGCTAATGCTTTTATAATATGTTTTTGATGTGGATATTCGGGCTCAACATTGACAATAACAGCGCTCACACACCTGTTTCGCAGCTCCTCCTCTTCCTCCTTTGGTCACACTCCTCTCTCCTCCTCCTCACACGGAAGACGCGAGTATCCATCTCTCCGTACACTGGGCTCATTCCCGTTACTTTCTTCACTCAGACACTGCTAAAGTTATCTGACAGCTCCGTAAAGTTTTTTTTCGGAGGACCCGCTGCGTACATAGCTGCCCTCGCGCCTGCCTGTTTACAAATTGCTTTTGGTGAAAATTTGACTTCACTTGTAATAATGTACTTTTGAACAAAAGAAATCAGAGGTCCAGAGAAAGGGGATTAGGGGTCCGAATTTGGAGCGCAGTCCGCCCTTTGGGGACTCTTGAACTAGTATATTTATTTAATAAAAAAATAAAAAAGGAAGGATTGCGAGGCCCTGTGTGGTGCGAGGCCCTGTGCGACGGCACAGGTCGCACAGCCCTTCCGACGGGCCTGTCCGTAAAGGTCCCAGATCCCCGCTGTTCTAGACCCTCCCATGCATCGACAAGGAACGAGTCAAAAGTTAAAATGTATTTCACAGATCTACGCATGTAAGACAGAAATATTGGCACGGTGGTATGGTGGTTATGGTGGCGGAATATCCCTCCTGTAATGGTAATGGGAAGTGTGAGAGAGTTTCCAAATATCATTTTTTTTTTAATTCAAAAAACAGGGAACAGTGAAATACAGCATAAGCCAATCAATGCCATCTCTGTCCTTATTGGGATATTTATCTGGATCTAAAACCGTTTAAAGGCGTAAATCATATACAGAAAAATAATAATAATAATCATCATCATAATTAGGCTTATACCCCATGAATTATTATTATCATTATTATTATCCATATTTTATCAATTATCTGTTTAGGATTAGGATTATTATTTTTGGAATATTACTGTGACTCTAGTATTGACGGTTACGCGCGTATTTCGGCTCATCCATCATCATCTCACGAGCTGCAGTCACGCATGTGAACGTGCTGTAATCAATCACTATCGATCGCTGATGTTGAGAACAGCTTGGCTTCTTTTGCATCTGCCTCGTGCGCTTTCCTTTGCAATTTGCGTTCTTTTGTTCAATCTCTTAAAAAAAAATCCCTGTTGACATGTGCCAATAAAGGAAAAGCCTTTACTTGTATTTGAAAAAAAAAGTCTAAGGGCAGCACAAACTCAAAATAGTCACTAATATATGTATGTATGTATGTATTATTATGATTATTATGATTATCATGATTATTATGATTATTATTACTATTATTAATTGTATGGATTAAAGTAGATTAACAATACATTCTAAAATGGTCAACCAAAGGTTTTCCACCTTTTCAACATAAACTAGACACATACATAGACAGATTTATGGATGGGTCTAAATATGCCATATTTAAAGCTGGGCCACCTAACTTTCAAGCCACAAAAATCTAACTTTTCTCTCACTCATAACACATCAGTGTCCCCCTCATGACATAACTTTACTGTCACTTTACAGCTCTGCTAACATCTATTGTGTACTTAACGCACTTGTATATAGTTGTAATTTTAAGAAACGATGGGAATTAGACAGCTATACAGATTGTGTATCTGCTACGATTGTGTATCCGTGTTATGTTCTTTCGATGTCTCTAGATGACACATGTGTTTTTCCATGTGTGACGTTGATAGAGCTAGTCCTGACTTTGTTCTGTCTGAAAAAAAACTGACAAAAACCTGAAAGAACCTGAAAAAACTGAGAATCAAATTCCGGGTGGCTCGGATCCCGTCTCTATGAGGTTGACTTTCCACAAAACTTGATGTGGATTTTTTTTAATTTATGCATACCTTACCCTATTTTTCTCTCCTACCTTGTTTGCACCAATAGCCAAAGCAATTTCCTAGTTTGTGACTTCTTGTTGCTCATATTGGCAATACACAGTGACAATTGTTTTACCTCTGTACTTTTAACCTTGTATTCATTCATGTACTTGTGTTCCAATGTGGTTTTTACTGCTGATGGCAAATTAAATGAATGTGAATCAAATAAATCTGATTCTGATTCACTACAGTTAAGTTTTATCATATAGTGTTCACATGCATTTATTTTTGATCCCTTATCTCATCTTTGGATCAGCTTTCTCTGACAAAAAATGGACAAATGAAAGACCACCCTTACTTCGCCATCAACTCATGAGCCCACATGGTTAGTATATATATATATATATGACTCACAGTCCTCTTTCTTTTTAAGTATGCACACGTTTACATGCGGTGGTGAACATATGGTGGTCTGATTTGTGCAAGACAATATTACTTTTACAACCCTTTACATTATTTCAAGCACCCGAGCTTTAACAGATGTGCTCAAACTTCACTTTCGCTCCATATGGACACATCTGGGCCTTTGCATCCCACATACATATGCAGGAACCATACATCGGGGAATATCAAGTGAATCACGTGAACATGGCCAACGGGGGGTGGGAGAGAGAGAGAGGGAGAGAGTGAGAGAAACTGGGCGAAACTGGTCACATATTGACCAACAGCTCTGACCGAGAGCCGTGCGTGAAGTGACAGTTTATCTCCATCCCCATCATGGCTGAAGGTATGTAGCAGACTCCTCACGCTTATCAGTGCATTCTCAGTGCTTAAAAAAAGGGGGGCAGACCTCTTTGCATCGTTTGTACTTCGGGATTTTGGGGTGGAGGATTCTTCTTCTAATTGTACGAAGTGAACCCGGCCCCCCCCCCACAGCCACCCACCCTCCCTGCTGCTCTATACCACCACCACCGCAGCAGCAGCAGCCCACCCCTCCTCCTCATTGTTTAGGGGGAAAAGGTTGCCTGCCCCCTTTTGTTTACCTCCCTCTCCCGCTTTCCTCCTGGTTCCTCGGCCTCTGCTTTTGTGAGACACTTTGCGTGAAAGTGGCGATCGGGAAGGATTACGCAGCTTGACGGCATTAAAAGGAGAAAAAAAAGAAGTACAGTTGCTTGGGTGCTGATTAAGACTCAACGCGGAGAAGACATGGGCTCTGTTTCGAACCAGGAATTCTCAGGTTTTAATGAATTTAACTTTATGACAAAACAGTTTGGAGGTTTGGTTTTACGCACGCGCACCTTGGCTGGACTATGCGTTGTATTGTATTGCAATTAAACTCGTAAAGATGTATATACTCTAGATGTTTTGTTCCTCCTTAAAACCTGTTTGGTTTTTTGGTTTGCAGAAAAGTGATCAATAACTTTCTCGCGCATCATTTAAGACAATGCATGAGTTGACCATGTGCTTTTTTTTGCTGCAGGAGTTTGCAAAACGGAAGAGGATGAAGGTCCATGCACCGAGGAGGACGCGTCTTTCCACGGGGTCGGCGTCTGCAAGTGGTTCAACGTGCGCATGGGCTTTGGGTTCCTGTCCATGACCAACCGGGAGGGAGAGCCACTGGAAGAACCGGTCGATGTGTTTGTTCATCAGGTAAGACCGCGTTCTCTCTCTGAAAAAACAGAAAAACGGACGGAAACCATGGGATGTATAGTTTTAAGGCCAAATCATTAATTTGTGTTTAAAATAAGTAAAAAAAAAATACTATATTGCAGAGAAGAACACACTTTTTTAACTTAAACGTAAAACTATTTCACTTAGAACTCGAGCGACTTTTTATTAAAGTAACATTTTGTGATCAAATTAGACCACTATACATTGTCTTTATCACTTACACCCTTTTGTTTTTGCATACTGGGAGCTGATTGGCTTTCTCAGGATGGCCTTCCCTTTTTCACTTTTCTCCACGGAACATATGTGACAGAGCCCTAAAACGCATGCATGTGAAAACTAGAGCTAGAACCAATCACTTGTGAAAGCTTTAGGAACTAGTTTGATATATTTTATTACACTACATCTGTTGTCTACGATTTCAACATCCAGTAATTCAGCTTTCATGATACATCTTGAGTTCGTTCGACTTCAAACTTTGCTGTCACTACCCCTCAAACCTCCTGGTAATCTTGTAATGACTACTTGTCTTGCAGTTTGAGACTGAGCATGGGTTTAATATCTTCCTGGAGGCTAAAACTTTGAATCATCCTGTTGTATACGTCTGATGAAAGAAGGTGTAAAGAGATGGGGTGGGGGAGCCTACGCCATAGTTTTCATCTGAGTGGGCTTCTCTCGCTGATAAGATAAAGACTTAGCATGTGAATGGGAAATAGGAGTCCCCAATAGCTACTCTTTCACCTCCAGGTTCCTGTCATAAAGTGATTAAAGGCTTTGCTGTCTGCCGAGCTCCCCGTCTGTGTTTTGTGTGCTATTTTTTAAGCCGAGAAGGGATCCCAGAGTTTATTTTGCTTAGAGTCTGCGAATTATGACAGCACCATCAAAAGCCCCCAGCTGTGGAGAGATTTGTCTGCTCCTAAAGTTTTTCATCATTCAGGTGGCTGTGAGTTTTGATTTGCTTTGTGCTTGGATTGTTGTGCCAATTTGTTAAAGCCATGCCTACTCGCACTCAAAGAACATGTTGTACGTACTCCCGTCAAAAATCCTTAATTTTTGACATTACAATAGTGTTCTGTCAGGACTATTGAACCCCAATCAAACACGCATTCATTAATATTGATAGGTCCCAATGGTATAACAGTAACATTTGCACCCTGAGGAGTGAGTAAGTCAAGTTTATTGGGATAACGTCGTTCAAGGATCAGAAGAACAGCAAAAAAATGAAAATAAATCACTTACAAGTCAATTACAGAAGCCTGGTAAAACTGTCTGTTTTTTGTGTTATTTGGACCCTTTGTGTGCCTGAATTAAGATTGAATTAAAAAAATACATAAGGTGAGGTGAGAAATCTTGTCTAAACAAATGTGTCTTCAGTTGAGTACTAAAAAAACGTTACATTTTTAGAGTAAATTCCAAGTATAGGCGATCCTAGCTCCTAATTTTGACTCAAGCTGACAAACCTGGCCGTACGTTTGGACATGTGTGATGGATACCCTGAGGTTATGACCATGTAAAGGGCCTCCAACCTGAAATTAGCGGCCGCGTGTCAAGAAAAATGAACTCCTAGGATTCAGTGGTCTTTGTGCAGGTGAACAAAAGAGCCATGCATCCGAAAGAAGCACCCCTCATCCGTGACCGAGCCCCTCATTGTATCCCGGGACTCTGATGTCTTTCTCTGCCCACTTCACTACATATGCATTCTCCTCTCGGCCGACTGTTGCCTACTAATAGCTCCGTGGGGTGCCTCTCCCAGAGCCCACCTACATTCTACCTGAACCGCCATCCGTCCACGTCTCTGTGTGTGTGCATATGTGGCCCGTTACAGAGGTCACACGTGAGAGAGGAAGTGGGTTAACGGTCACCAATGCGCAGAAAAAAAAAAAAAAAAAAAAACGGATGGGAACGGGGCTTATTGGGTCTGGGGCAACTCAAATGTCAGGCCACACCAGTCCGGGTCTGGTTCGTCGTTCTGCGTTGCGGCTAAAACTGAAAATTGGCTTGTGGAAGTGGGGCCATAAGAGAAGGAAGGCTAAGAGTGTTAGAAAAAATGCCATGGAGGTTAAGTTTGATAGAATAGAATTGCTTTTTTTATTTTTAAACAAAGGGAAGTTCAGTTTTACAATCATTAATTACACACAGATCAATAGAGAGACTGTTAAAAAATAGCCATTACGTGCAATTATCAGTTCATAATTTCTTGGAGGCAATTTCAAATCTACCTACATTATACATGCATTTATTCCAATCACATCAAAACCAGATTCAGATTCATTTTTTGCTTGCCATTTGCAGTAAAACCACATTGGAATACATACGCAAAAGTCCCCCAGTGTGCACCAGACAAGTACAGAAATAAAACAAGGTTAAAAGTACAGAAATATACAGTTTCAGTAAAAGTGTGAGATCATTTAAAGTGTCTTGTCTCAGCTTCCGACTTGTGACGTCTCCACTTCCCATTCATGGCGATTTACCCAGATTGTAAATATTGCTTCTCACTCTGTATCATATCCTGTTGTCACGAAAAAACATATTCAAGAAGGCCACTAAACAAAAGAAGCATTTCCAAACATCATTGATCTTTTGCCTGTGTCAACATGGCTACACAAAGTTGTGACAATTTAATCCCGCCACCTTTTCTAAGGGAATTTTGAGCAAGGGATTTCCCAATGTTCTGTTTGCTGGTCTTATCGTTGAGACGGCACCACGCCTGTTTCTATCTTGTTTGTGTTACTCGGAAGTGTACCTGGCAAAAGAAGCAAAGGAGGAGGATTTGGAAGGGTTGTTTAAGGTGAAAAACAGTTCCATGGGGCTGCTTGATTGTGGCAAAACTCACACAATGAATTGGCAATTTTTCTCAGTGTTTGTATTTTTTGTACAGTATGAGGACAATTTCAATGATAAAGCAAATACACCGCTCGGAAGCTGATTTGTTGTATTTCTGATTATCCCCAGTAGTGTTATCGTGAGACAGTCATGGGCCATATTGTCCTGTAATGATATGAAAGCCTTCTATGTTGAACTGTGGTCGTCCATAACTTTTACCTTGCATGTCTCTGCCCAAAAACTATCCAAAGAATGTCACCCTTACCCCCTACCTTCCAGAGGAGCCTTCTCACCCTGCCCCCCAGGCCGAGCGCTAACCCCTGCATCCTGCCGTTTAGGGCTTGTGCTGCTGGTCACTGTTCGTGGAGCTTTGTGATGTGGGTGGGAAGAGCACTGGGGGTGGGGGCTGCAGTGTGGAATGCTGTTCCTTTGGAGGGGGAAGGGTTGAAGGTTATCCTCATCAGGTTTACCGGTCAAACATGGAAAAAAGACTAAAGCAACATTTATGACCAGGGAGATGGTTTATATGGGAGAGGAGAAAACCAGAGAACTCTCTTCGTTCCAATTTAATCGATTGATGAACGTAAACTCTGGTGTGAATATCCAGTCCGTTCAGCAAAGGTGGTCAGGATCTGATTTAGTCTGTTTAATTCAACATTTAAATGTGATGCTATTGAGATCAGGCAATCAGATGCACTGGGAAAAGCCATGCTTATGATACAAGTGTATGTACAAATGTTTGTGTTTGGACGTATGTAGGAACTGTTAGGATTAGATAGCGATTTGGCCTACGTGCAGGACTATACAAGGACTCTGATGGACTCCATGTTTTGACTATGATATACTCGTGACTGTCTCTGTGTGACACGTATGTCTTTCGATGTGTGACGTGACAATGACTATATAAACTGTGTACTGACTCCATTTTGACGGAGAGAAAGAAACAAATGCGATGAAGCAGAGTCTCTGCACGTGTCATGTTTTTTCAAGAAGTAAATAAAAATGTGCACTGTATAAGTAAAGCAAATAACCCGTAGACCTGCTGCACACAAATATGTTGCTAAGCAATAATCCAGCAGTTCTCTGCAAAAGCTGTGATCATAAAACAACATCATAACTAAACTAGTTGGTGGTAATTATTGTAATGTGCTAAATATGAATATATGGAAGAATAATCTAATCTTGTCGCTGCTCTATTTAGAGCAAGTTGCACATGGATGGCTTCCGAAGTTTGAAAGAAGGCGAGGACGTCGAGTTCACCTTCAAGAAGTCTTCTAAAGGCCTGGAGTCTCAGCGAGTCACTGGACCTGGTGGTATCCACTGTGTGGGGAGTGAGAGGAGACCCAAAGGCAAGAAGGTTCAGAAGCGACGCTCCAAAGGAGACAGGTGAGACACCGACCTGCAGTCTGCCTCATGTTTGTGTGGCCAATGTTGAAAATGAAAGGATCGTAAATCCCTCTAAAAACTCTTCAACATTAACAACTACTTTAAGCTTCATAAATGTTCTCCGTTTGCATTTTCTGATGGAACGCACACAGATGTTTTGTGTGTCCCTTATTGGGCCCTTTTTCGGGGCCCAGCCCCCACATGTATCTGCGCTGAGGGTCACAACAGCAGCCCTGACGTGTGACCTGGATCAATAACTGTTTAAAATGGCAAGTCCCTGGTGAATTCACGTTTCTCCCAAATCCACTGATATGATTGGTCGCTCCAAAACTCTGCTCTTTTTCTTTTTTACACACATGGGCTAGTTTAACAGGGCTTGGGTTGAGACTGAAGTTTTAGAGGGTGTTGTCGTTTTTTGCTGGACTATATGGTGCTTGGTTAGAAGAAACGTCACCCTATCTGTCAGAACTGATTAGATCCAGAGAGTAGTCAGTGTGAGAGCGGAGATCATTACCGCCTCAAAGAGTCCTGAGAGGCCCAGTGCAGTTCAATAACTCAGCCCTCATTCCCAGATGCATCAAAGTTCACATCCATATCTTACAAAAGTATTCAATGTTAGGTTTTATTTTTACAGATGGTTTTTTATCCTTACTTACTGCTCCAACTTGCATGGCAAAGGTCCCCATGTTTAGAAGTGCACACACTCTTAGTGGTTTACATAGGACCAAAGGAGGGAAACGCTCCTGTCCATTTAATTGATAACAGATGCAAGAACCTGGGCAAAGAGGTGAAAGGTTACTGTTGCCATAGCGACCATGTATGAGTAAATGCAAGATCGTGGGGGGCTGGGGGAGCGGGTGGGGGTCAGGGCTCAGAGGTCATTACTGCAGCTTTTTTAGACAAAGAAGCACTTCCCGTTCCCTCCTCTTCACTCCTGATGGATGCTGTTGTATGCTGCTCGTGCCATGTGATGTACAGACCTTCAGACCCAGCGGCCGCCGTAACAAAGAGGCTTTGACCTCCTCTGCAGACGCACGTTCAAAAATCATCTGCCTCTAAAACAGCATCACACAGAGACTGACCAGTGCACACCCACCACCCATCTGTCTTAGCCCTGAGCGCGTGGCTTTTCTATAGATTCTGTTTGAACAGCAGGAATGAATGTTGCCCGCATGACTCCTGCTGATCTATAGTGATTGTTCAAGAGTTCAAAGCCAATGAAATGGAAAGTTAGCTTCAAAAAGACAAAACCAAACCTGGACATCTGGACAAACGACCCTTGCTATTCTTAACATCCATCCATCCAACATTTATTCCATTGAATCTGGTAGTGTAAAACTCAAACATATAAAATCATAGGCATTTTGCACACAGGTGAAATATATTTACTACAAGTGCATCATTTCTCCCATTAATATGTATTCTACGTTATACTCATTCATATTTTATTCTGTTTACGTTATATTTTATCAACGTTAATAGAATACACTTAAAAATGGAAGCTTCGTCTTCAAAAAGAGGACAAAATAAATCATTATGTCACAAGGAGACTGTTGTGTGATGACCTGGGATGCCCCCACTTGGCCTGTGTCACAACATGAGGCATTTTAAAGGAGAATGCTGCCATCTAGAGGTGAAGGCTTTTCAATAGTGTTTTGACTGTTTTATTTTTCCTCCTAGGTGCTACAACTGCGGGGGCCTAGACCACCATGCCAAAGAATGTAAACTGCCACCTCAGCCCAAGAAGTGCCATTTCTGTCAAAGCATCGATCACATGGTCGCCCAATGTCCAATCAAAGCACAAGGATCTCAGGGAAAGCATCTGTGTGAGGAGGAGCACAGCCACTCAGCACCGCAGGCAGAAGTTACCGAATAAACCAGGTCCAGGGCAACTACCAGGGGCAGCACAAAAGCCAATCACAAAGCTTTGATGAAGACATGGGGCACTTTGTCCAATCCTTGTTGAAGCTGCTTTTGAAACTACCTCAGGTTGAGTTTGCCCTTTTTATTCTTTACTTTTTTTAAATTTCAGTTTTGGTGTGACACTCAAGATTACTGCTGTAATATTGCACTCAGGATTTCGTCTCCGGACTCTTTATAAACATTGAATCGACTGTTGATTAATGGGCTGGACAAACTGTACTGATTATTTGCCTTAGCATTAGAGCAGTTTGTATTTATCTGCCTCACTGTTCATGCGTGTGACCAGTGAGGTGCCTCTGTCATGAATGTTTCAAATCGTACGGGAAAGAGGTCTATATCGACAGGCATTGTACCAATTTTGCAACAGACCAAGCATATTTCAGGGGCCGAATGAATGTCAGACCAGAGGCTGTCTCCTCTTTTTTTGGGTCTGTTACTTTTCGTCATTGTGATTTCTGTTTTTACACTGTGCACAGCCTACCTCTGTTTGTGCGTAAACCTATACATTCTTACAACAAAAACCTCAATTATGATTCAAATGAACTCAAATCCTTTGTAAGTGCTGACACAATCGAGCTGAACTCTGCTGTACACTGCGTCTGCTCTTTGTGTCTCTGTGGATTTGATTCATGGTTGATTTACCTCATGATACATAACTCTACCTCAACAATATTCTTGACCTGGGCTCGGATGTTTTGGTCCAGCCCGGTCTCCACTTGATACTTGAATAAATTGAGCAAAGTCGGATAAGACGTTACCAGTGGGATGGCTGGTGTGTTTTTTTTTTTACCAAGTTCGACCTATTTCTAGGTAGTTATTTAAGACAGTACCTCCTTATGGCCTTGGAATGAGCTATTGCAGGCACACCAACCCTGCACTGAGAGGCGTTTAGAACTAGAAAGCTATTCAGCAATTTACTCCCGTTTTACAGGAGAAGCTGAACAGACATCCCACTAATATATATGTAAAATTTATTTTTAAAATATCATACTATGTATTTATTTTCATCCAAATTGCTTGACATATTTCATCCGATTTAAAGCCTCATATATTTCTGTCAATATGTTTCAACTCCCAGCTCTATGTTGTACTTAATACTCACTATTTTATGCTAATGATTAGAGAATAGTGTAAAGCTACACAGTATTTTTATTGGCACATACTATGATTTGACCGTTGTCTTTTTTTGTATGCATTTTAATGTTTTCAATCTTTTTTTTCTAAGAGTAGAGCTTTTGGAGGTGGCTTTTATCATTATACACCTCATATCTATGCCAAAACCAATGCAAAGTTAGTCTGCACTAATCATGTGTGAGATGTATTAATCTTTTTGTATGTTCAGTTACGGCTTTATTATGTTTTATATTTTATTTTATATATATTTTCTAGTTTTTCATAGTAACTTTCGACACTCTCTGACTCATCTCAGGAAAAGCCGATCTGAAGACTCAGGGAAAATGCAGAAAGGCTCAGAAGCAGTCAGAGAGTGTCATTCAGCAGATATGATCCAGATGATGTGAAGTTTACATGTATTGGTTTTCTAACTGGTTCTATGAGATTTACAAATAATGAATGCTTTGACGGACACTCAGTCATGCCCTGATATGTTCCCTATGAATGTGTTTGTTCCTGTTTTGTAGTAGATGGGGATGTAGTGAAATGTTAAGGGGCCTTTAGTATAAATCAGGAATTGTCTCGTCTCAACACTAGGCTGATACTGTGTTTCAGACTATCAAAGCTTTGGACAAAAAGAATGTCAGCAAATGCATCAACACAATTCTAATTCATGGCGTGTGTGAATGTACATGTCCACAATGTTAAGTAATAATCCACTTACAGCCTTGTGTTTGACATTTGATATTTTTCCAGTCCCGGTGATTTGTGGGATGTATAGAAGGATTAGATAGTCAGGTTGTCTTTGGATTTCTTAGACAATTCGCTCAGGGTACGGATGAAGCACAGCAAATGCATGTGTGTAATATTTGCTGCCTTTCTATACGTTGTAAATTTTTTATTGACCATCAGCCTTTGTGGCTTTATCGGACAAAGTGCATCTCTATCTGAATGTATCAAACGCTCACTGCTATAAAACTACAGTCGATCTCAGGCACATATTGTTTACTTTATTCAGCATGTATGCTTCTCAAAATGTCGCTGTGGTTTTCATATGTAAAAAATCTGCTTCATTTTCCTAATAAAAGACAATTTCATGTCTTCATTTGTCTCAATCACTTTGTCACATCAATCAAATATTGCCTACATATTAATATGTGTTAATTAAAATGTGGTGTTGGGTGGAACAGGCACAGTTAATTACAATAATGACTTTTTTATATCAACATACTGATATATTAATTACTTGGAAGAGTAGTTTAAAATTAAGCCACCAGAGCTTTAAAAATTGTAAATGAACAGAAGACTTTTACAACTTGAGCATGAGCAACTTCCTGTTACAATGACAATAGAAATTAAAGCCGCAAGCGGCGTCGAACGGCCCTCGCCGCACCGCGCAACCCCCCGCACCGCGCGACTCCCCGCACGCGCGCACCACCCCGTGACAAGCCACCACGCACCACGCCGCCCTGCACCACGCCGTCCCCATCACGCCGCCCTGCACCACGCCGTCCCGCATCACGCCGCCCCGCACCAAGCCACAACGCGCCGCTCCACAACGCCCCGCACTACGCCGCACCACACCGTACCACGCAGCACCGCTCAAAGGAGGTGGCGCCGCCGTGTGATGATTTGTTTCCGTAGCCGCAGAAGATTGTTAGTCAAATTGTAATGAATATGATAAGTAGAGCTGGTTTGGCTCCCCATGTAAACTTTGACTCAGTCTGTAGGGGGCGCTAATGGGCCAATTTAAAATATTTCACTTTCACCTGACCTAAACCCTGGAGTTGAACAATGGATTCAAGTTTAATGCAAATCAGACTTTGTTTGTGCAAACGGGAAAAAAATTAATGTTGTCAAAAACGGCAAAAAAACCCTCACATTTTGCCGCTCCGCTGCTCAAACAACGTTTCACTGATCAAAATTCCCTGAAGTCATTTTGAAGGTAAATGTGTTGAGATGATTTGGAGCAATTTTGAGGCCAATCGGTGAAACGGCCGAGGAGGAGTCGCTTTCCAACCGACATGTATGAAAATGATTGGTTTTCATTTTTCCATTTTGCAATGAAATTTATGGGCTTCCTGTTTGTCAGAGGGCTTAGCCATAATAACATTTTTTCCATGTCTTGACTTGAGGAACATGTGTACCAAATTACATGGCTCTATGACAATTTTGACCTCAAACCCCTCCCATAGGCATTTTAAAATTGGCTGTTGTAGGTGGCGCTATAGAGCCAATTTCAAAATTTTAACTTTCAAATGACCTAGACCCAAGAGTTGAACCATGGATTCAAGTTTTGTGCAAATCAGACTTTGTTTGTGCAAACGGAAGCAATTTTTCTATTGTCAAAAACTGAAAAAAAATACGCCACTTTTTGGCGCTCGCTGCTCAAACAACGTTTCACTGATCAAAATTCCCTGAAGTCATTTTGATGGTACATGTGTTGAGATGATGTGGAGCGATTTTGAGGCGAATCGGTGAAACGGCCGAGGCTGGTTTGATGTTTGTGTGAGGTGTACATTTGCAATGAATGGGGAGCGTTTGTCGTCGCCACGGCAACAGGGTAAAAAATAAGCCTTGGACCCAATTGACTTTTTGAATCAAGAGGGCAAAACAGATTTATGTGCAAAATTTCAAACATTTTGAAAAAACTAAATTTGAAAATGCCCATCTAAAACTTTGAAATAGTCTGTAGGGGGCGCTAATGTGTCAATTTGAATTAATTCACTTTCAAATGACCTAGACCCTAGAGTTGAACAATGTATTAAAGTTTTGTGCAAATCAGACTTTGTTTGTGCAAACGGGAGCAAATTTAATGTTGTCAAAAACGGCCAAAAAAAGGTCACATTTTGCCGCTCCGCTGCTCAAACAATGTTTCACTGATCAAAAATCCCTGAGGTCATTTTGAAGGTACATGTGTTGAGATGATGTGGAGCGATTTTGAGGCGAATCGGTGAAACGGCCGAGGAGGAGTCGCTTTCCAACCGACATGTATGAAAACTTTTGCTGTTCATTTTTCCATTTTGCAGTGAAATTTATGGGCTTCCTGTTTGTCAGAGGGCGGGGCCATAATAATATTTTTTTCTTGTCTTGACTTGAGGAACATGTGTACCAAATCTCATGTTTCTACGACAAACTTGACCTCCGAAAAGTCCCATAGGGGTATTATTTTGGCTGTTGTAGGTGGCGCTGTTCTGTCATTTTTTGAGTCCCATAAAAATAAACACCAAAATATCAAATTTTTCGCCAGGTCTGATTTTTGGGCCAAAATTAACAACTTTTCATGCATGTTCAGGGGGTCAAATTAAGGCTCAAAGTGCAGAAGAAAAAAGAAAGAAAGAAATAAATAAATTAAAGCCGCAAGCGGCGTCGAACGGCCCTCGCCGCACCGCGCGACTCCCCGCACTGCGCGCACCACCCCATTCCACGCCGCCCCGCACCAAGCCACCCCGCACCACGCCGCCCTGCACCACGCTGTCCCGCCTCACGCCGCCCCGCACCAAGCCGCAATGCGCCGCTCCACAACGCCCCGCACTACGCCGCACCACACCGTACCACGCAGCACCGCTCAAAGGAGGTGGCGCCGTTGTGTGATGATTTGTTCCCGTAGCCATAGAAGATTGTTAGTCAAATTGTAATGAATATGATAAGTAGAGCTGGTTTGGCTCCCCATGTAAACTTTGACTCAGTCTTTAGGGGGCGCTAATGGGCCAATTTCACATATTTCAATTTCACCTGACCTAAACCCTGGAGTTGAACAATGGATTCAAGTTTAATGCAAATCAGACTTTGTTTGTGCAAACTGGGAAAAAATGTATGTCGTCAAAAACGGCCAAAAAA